CAGCCTCAGCCTCAGCCTCAGCCTCAGCCTCAGCCTCAGCCACAGCCTCAGCCTCAGCCTCAGCACCTACCCTCTCCCATGTACAAACCAACGAGGCAGAGAGAATGTAGCTCCCCATTGAAGGTTCTTCAGGATGAAGTAGTGGCCTCTCTCACGCACCACTGTCCTAGCCACTGAGGCCATCCCAGCAGGGGGGAAGGTCTATAATGTATGTGATACCTAATGGCTGCAAACCCAGCTCTGAAAGAAACCTAAAGTCCCGGCCTTTCAGTTGTCACTCAGTGTGTGTGGAGAGATACACCACACAAGACACCAATCTAACTGATGCCCAGAGGTGAGCAAAAGGTTAAGAAGACAATATTTTCCAGTTACTTTCCATTTGTAAAGAATACAAGTGAAATTATTTTAGATAGTTTTGCTCTATACTTCATCAAAGAAGAAAAAAAAATGTTCTCTACTGTGATATGTTTCTCAAGGTTAAAGAAGATACAGGGAGCTGGACACTAAGCTCTAATGATCTAAAAATAACTGTTGCATGCCTCTGCTTCTGTGCAGGTCCTGCTGCCGATTTATGCATTTGAGTTGCTTAAGTTAGATGAACTGTATTGAATTTAACTTCACAAATTAATTTTTAAAAACATTTGATTGGTTCTGGTTCTTTGTGAATTTCACATTGTACACCCCAATCCCATTCATCTCTCCCCCCCCATACCCACCCTTTACCCTTACAATCCCCCCTCCCCAACAGAGAGAAAAAAATCTTCATGGAAGCTGTAATGCATCACAGGGTATCCCACAGTATACCATTTTGTCCACATTTCTTTGCTTACAAATGTTCATTGCATTGGTCTGGTAGGTGGCTTCTAGCTTCTGCTACTCTATCAATACAGAAAACTCCCTGGAACTCTTCTCAGATGTTCTGTTGTTGCCTTGTGTCATGGAGATCCTGTAGTTTTTGTATCTGTAAGACTAACGCCTGAATGTACTCCAGCAGTTCATTGATGGGGTAGATGTGGGGTGGGCCAATTTAAAACCCTTGATCTGGGCCTGAGAGGTATCTGAGATGCTTTCATGCCCTTGGGACCAGCTCACCAGCAACTCGGGCATCCAGGGACACCTCTAACCTGCTACCCAGGGAAGGTACAGGGCCTGCCCTCCTGAGTATTGCAGAACTAGGACATGGCCAGGTCTCCCATTCTCATGACCCCAGGACCAACTCTCCTACCTACCTTAGATGGCAAGGGGTGAGAGTGTGGAAGGTCATTTCTTCCTTGTCCATGACACTACATGGCAAAGGAGTTGCAGGGCCAGCTCTGACATGCTTACACCCTCAGGGCTGGCTCCCACCCTCGGGGCCCCTACTGACTTGTACTCATGCCATCAGGGTCAGCTCTACTATGCTGCCCAGGTGAGGTACATGGCCTGCTCTCCCAAGTGCTGCAGTTGGTGAGAGGCAGGGCCAGCTCTCCTGCTCTCAGGACCCCAGGGCCAGGTCTCCAGCTTGCCGGGGATGGTAAGGGATGAAGTGGAGAGAAGAGTATGTCACCCTCATCCGTGCTACCACAGCAGAGACAAGTGGTAGGGTCAGCTCTCTCGTGCTCGTATCCTAAGCTCACCCACAACTCCCACAGTGTGAGGGGCCTGCTCTCCTGAATTCCTACCCCCATAGCCTGCTCTCTCAGGACTTCCAGGTAAGGGGCGGAACCAGTTCTGCATAGCCCTCAGGCACCAATATGACTCCAGGCACTAGCCCAGACCAGGGATGTCCCCTGGCCTTTGGTGGTAACAGACCCCTGTGCTGCAGGGCCACAAACCCAGATAGTTCCCCCTACCCCCTACAGATGGCAGCACAGGCCAGGACTTCACCATGATGCCAGGAGTTATCACCCACTACTCACATCAGGCTGTTCCTCACTACGGTCAAGTCTCCAGTTCTGCCTCTCTTCATTGTGCCCACATCCCTCTGTATCTCTTTCTCATCATTTCTCTACTACTTACTTGCTTCTCCCAGTAGCATCTGGAGTAGCATCTTGGAGTGTCTGGAGTCATCTCAGGAGTGGTCTCAGGAGTACTATGCCCCACTGGTGCATTATGGCACCAGGCAGGATTCAGCTTGGCATGGTCTGGTCCCCATGGGCTGCATAGCACTGGTCTGGTGGTCATCTCAGGCTAGCTCCATGTCCGCAGTCCATGGCACCAATCTGGTAGTCCTCTTGCTTGACCCTTGGTAGCTGACCCTACCACTTGTCTCTGGTGTGGTGGCATGGACAAGGGTGAAATACCCTTCTCCCTCCTTTGTCCTTCACCACCTGTGGCAGGCTGAAGTCCTGGCCCTGGAGTCCTGAGAGCAGGAGAGCTGGCCCTGTCTCTCACCAGCTTCAGCACTTGGGAGCTTTTGATGCCGCTTCTAAGAATTTGACATTTGTCACTGGGCAAGGAAGTAGGCTCAGGTAAGAATATTAGAAACAGTGAGCGTGGGGCTTTGTTTACTGCTTTGCTTAATTACTACCTTGTGTGCTCTCTTTGCTCACTATTTTCCTTGGTTACTATCTTGTGTGATCTTTTTGCTTACTACTTCACTTGATGACTTTGTCTTTGATCTAAGAACTGGCCATGGTTTTGTTGGATGTACTTAGAATGATATAAAAGCAGGCTGGAGAAAACTCAAGCTGCTTCAGCCTCGGTACTGGCTGGAGTCAGGCTATAATTTAGTCTAATTGTCTTTGTCTTTTCAATCCTCACTCCCTCCCATGAAACCCGGTTGGCTGAGCTGGCTTGGTCAGGAGAGCAAAAGGGTACAAGCTTGCTTCCTACCCAGCTCACCCAAGTGGCCCCTTACAAGGGTTGTCTGTCTTGGGCTCACTTTTGCTAGAGTCCTATAGTCCCAGGCAGGGTTCTTCTAGTTTCTATCTTGCTCTCAGTCTGGAAGCCTTTCTGAACATCCCTGGTGGTTGTCTCAGGCTACCTTCCTGTCCCAGATACCTCATGCCAGACTGGTGGTCATCTTAGGCTCACGTTTTTCAGGGACCATTAGGCTACTAATCATTCAGATGTTCACAGATCAGGAAACTGGGCAAAACACAACCTCTCTCCTCTCTGCCACCTACTGAGGCACATGTGACCTAGTAGTCACACCTACAATGCCTTTAGGGGCAGGGTACAAATTAATTTGGAGATATTAAATTCCTTCTGCTTTTGTTAAGTGTCACAGTAACAAAGTCAATGTTTCTGGAGACATTGAGCATGTTAAGTATAGTTCTTGTATTTCTCTTTTTTCTTTTCTTATTTGGCTCTTGGAAAACTACCCCAGATGGCAAAGAGGAGGCGCATTGTCCTGAGAGTCCTTTAAAGGAAGATTAAACCACAATGCTGGTAAGGCTCAGGGGGCAATATGTACAAACACTGTTGCTCCATCCCCATATGTATTCCTTGCCTGTATGTAAAGTTTGTAGTTATATCTCTGAAACTGACAATGGGGCTGTTCCTGTGTGGCTGAACTTCCTCAGATTGATTCGTGTTCATTTCTTGTAACTCCCAGGTGGGGCAATATCTATGAATATGGCTGTCCTTGTGGTAGAAATGTTTGTTATTGGGTAAAGGGAATGATAGCCATTCATTGAACAAGAGTAGACTATATAATCCAGTTTGATATTTCAACTTTAAAATATGTAGACCACCACCATCACCCTCAAAATGAAAAGCAACAATATAGACACCTGAAACTGAGATGTTCATCTACAAGCACACACACACACACACACACACACACATATATACAGAGAGAGAGAGAGAGAGAGAGAGAGAGAGAGAGAGAGAGAGAGAGAGAGAGAGA